GAGAGAGAGAGAGAGAGAGAGAAATGGCAGTAGAAGAGGTAGGAGGAGGAGATGATTACACAAAAGATGGAACAGTTGATCTTCGAGGCAACCCTGTTCGAAGATCTCAAAGTGGTCGTTGGAAAGCTTGCTCCTTCCTCGTTGGTATGTTATGATTTTAAGTTTTTGTGTATATGATTAAGAGTAATGAACTAATATTTGAAAATCTTGATATGATTAGTGTACGAGGTGTTTGAAAGGATGGCTTATTATGGGATATCAAGCAACCTAGTGATTTACATGACTACCATATTGCACCAAGGAACGGTCAAGTCGTCGAACAATGTGACCAATTGGATTGGGACTAGTTGGCTCACTCCAATCTTGGGTGCTTATGTTGCCGATGCTCATCTCGGTCGCTACATCACCTTTGTCATCTCTTCGGCTATTTATTTATCGGTACGTATACATTTTTCATATACAAAAATTAGAAGAAACAATAAAAATGGAGTTTTTGCTTAGATCAAAGTTGAGCCATTTGTTGAAGATTAGGTAGTAGATAAAAACTTAGAAAAAGATCTGGAATCTCCAAATTTAACATCTGATCAGTGTTTTTACATTTTAACTTATATATAACATTTGAATCTAATTAAGACATGTGCCCATCAAACTAGACGTGGATGCATGATAAAAGTGAAGAATGAGTCGTATAATTTTTATGTTCTTTTTTATTCAATCAGTTTACGTATATTAATACAAGAATTTAAAATGACTTTTTTGAGCTAACAAAAACAACATATATAACATTTCTCATGGCATTACAGGGAATGGGATTACTGACGTTATCAGTATCTCTACCGCAACTTAAGCCACCAAAATGTTCGACGGCTAATGTTGAAGACTGCCCACAAGCTTCTGTTTTACAGTTAGCTGTATTCTTTGGAGCGTTATACACATTAGCCATCGGCACGGGCGGTACAAAACCGAACATTTCGACAATAGGAGCTGATCAGTTCGATGAATTCGACCCGAAAGAGAGGGTTCATAAGCATTCATTCTTCAATTGGTGGATGTTTAGTATCTTCTTTGGTACTTTCTTTGCTACAACTGTTCTTGTCTATGTTCAAGATAACGTTGGTTGGGCGTTAGGTTATGGTCTTTCAACTTTGGGCCTTGGTTTCTCCATTTTCATATTCTTGTTGGGAACTCGGTTATACCGCCATAAACTCCCCATGGGAAGCCCATTTACCAAGATGGCTAGAGTCATTGTGGCTTCACTTCGCAAAGCCCGCACACCTATGTCGTATGATTGGCATTGCCACCACGAGCTTCCGCCATCCGAATATGCGAGCAAAGGGGCTTTCCCAATCCATTCTACTCCAAGTCTAAGGTAATGAATGATTATTCAACCCTACAAGAGTGAACATTTTGATTTATCATATGTACCTAAGAATTAACTGTGTTGCAGATTCTTAAATCGAGCTTCACTCAAAACCGGATCAGCCAATAAATGGAGTCTATGTACTATCACAGAAGTTGAAGAAACAAAACAGATGCTGAAAATGTTACCTGTCCTCTTTGTAACATTTGTCCCAAGCATGATGCTTGCTCAGATAATGACTCTGTTCATCAAACAAGGAACCACCCTCGACCGTCGTCTCACAAACAACTTCAGCATCCCACCCGCAAGTCTCTTAGGCTTCACAACGTTCTCAATGCTTGTCTCTATAGTCATATATGACCGTTTCTTCGTTAAACTGACAAGACGATTCACGGGAAATCCAAGAGGTATCACATTGCTTCAGCGAATGGGAATCGGAATGATCCTTCACATCATAATCATGATCATCGCGTCCATAACAGAAAGGTATAGGCTCAAGGTCGCTGCTGAGCACGGGCTAAACCACCAGACCGCTGTACCGATTCCGTTGTCAATTTTCCTGTTGCTTCCACAGTATGTGCTAATGGGTTTGGCTGATACTTTCATGGAAATCGCAAAGCTCGAGTTTTTCTACGATCAAGCACCAGAGAGTATGAAAAGCCTCGGGACATCATACGCCACTACAAGTATGGCAGTCGGGAATTTCATGAGCAGTTTCATCCTTTCGTCAGTGGCTCAGATTACAAAGAAGCAGGGAAGAGGATGGATTCTAAACAACTTGAATGAGTCTAGGTTGGATAACTATTACATGTTCTTTGCAGTACTTAATCTGGTTAACTTCCTCCTCTTCTTGGTTGTAATTAGATTTTATCAGTACAGAGCTGAGGTTACAGATTCAGCAAATGTAGAACAGAGGAACAAATAATGTAAGACATTAAGTGTTTTTATTCAATTTGGTTGCAATAAATGTAATTGATCGGAATTAGGAACCAATTAAGCAAAGCCTTAATCCACTTACAAACCATCATACACTGTTGTTATTATGTTTCTCTATCAGACACTTAAGAAATCACAAAAGTTTGTTCTTGTGATTTCCTCAGATAGATATTACAACATAAGGCAGATAACTCTAAAACAACTTACAGTACATAGTTTTCGATAAAAGACTCTGGCTCAGAAATTATACTTCCTTTTGCTTGAGACACGGTTATCTTCTTCCTCCTCTTCTTCTTCCTCTTCTTCTTCTTCTACTTCTTCTTCTTCTTCTTCTTGCCCAACATCATCTTCTGCAGTATTAACCCTCTCGCACTCATCGATCCATTCGCTATAGCTGCATTCATTTCAAACAAACCAGAGAGATTTACAATTAATAAATAAGGCGAACTGAAAGCAAATATATAACGTTGCAAATAGTTGTGTACTTACATGTCTATAGCTTCAGTCAAAGCTACAAGAAACAGAACAGAAACAAAAGAATGATCAGATACATAAGCAAACAAACACGATGCTATATCGACTAAACAACAACTTCGAAAGACACGGAAAAAAAAACCTGTGATAGTAGTACTAAACTGTTCTTCACAGATTCTACAAGTTGCTTTACCAATCAGATGCTTCATATCACTGAATAAAGAAACAAAGGAATCAGTTGAAATAATTTCAATTTCTTTTCATTCAATTCATTACCAATATTGTGATTCATCTTACATAGAGCATTCAACACTCGACCCGTGATTGCAGAAAGGACAACTAAAGACTGTGTCAAGCTTATCCATTCGCTTGGTAGGAGCAGGCTTTGCTCTTGATTTCCTCTTTCCCATTGCTTAAACACCTTTGCCACAAAAACAATCGAATCAAAAAAACAAACATAAAAATCAATACTTTCGTAATGATCAATTACTAGATTAGTCAAAAGTATTCAACTTTAAAGAAATCTCAATAATTGGCTAAACTCAATCAAAAAAATCTTTACTTTTCACAATTACGAGACTATAAAGATATTGGGGATCTTGAAACCCTAGAACACAAATCGTGAAGCCCTAATAATACAGAACAAAAGATCGGATTCACATAAGATTGAACTTCAGGTAGAAGAAACAGATCGACATCATAGGAGGGGAGAAATGAACTTACCAGGCGAAGAGGGTTGATTTAGGTTTTGAAGATTGCGGAGGAGGAGACGGTCTTCGCGGTGGCGATAGATGTAGAACCCAACGTCGGAGAGAATGATGTTTGTTTGTTTGTATCAAGGCCTGATTTTTTTACAAGTTGAGATATATTTACAATAATGGGCTTTTTTGCTAAGGCCCAAATACCCAATTGAATACTATTTTCAAATAATATCATTTTACTTTATATACTAATTAAGAAAATACAAGAAGTGGTTTATCGTAGCACACAAGTTTAAGAACTCATATTCCCACCCAAAAAAAAAAGTTTAAGAACTCATATTCCCACCAAAAAAAAAAAAGTTTAAGAACTCATATTCAATCTATTATTTGGTTTTAGCTTTTGTAATAGTGGTTTGACATGGTATACATGATGTGGAATCATTGAAGACTTCACATACCAAAACAAAACAAAAAAGAGAATTTTAGTGACACACGTTGAAGATTTTCATTCATACCCAAAACTTGATCATATTAATTCATCATGGACATGTAAAATTTTAAGGTTTAGCATACCAATATTAATATTCCAATTCGTTTTATAAATTTGGTGATTTGTGTAATACTAATTATGATAATTTGTGAAAGTAATTATTTTGGAATATAATAAATCATTAAGCAGCCGTGAAAGAGTTTCAAAACGAATAATAACCCATCGACGAGAAGATCATCAAGGCTCAACTATGGAACATTGGTTGTCAAAAACGGTCTAATCTATAAAAATTAAAACATTCCTCTAGCTACGTTTCTTTAATTTTTCATTTGGTTTATAAATAAATTCGAAATATTATGAGATATATACTTGTGTACGTACTATATTTACATGCTTTGTATTTCCTTCATATAGGTATAGAAATATTATATATATGACTTATGAGATATACTTGTGTACGATATTACGAGTCACACAACGTTCAAGAATGTTGAACAATGGCTCAAGGATCTTCGTGCATTCCTTAATACCAACAAGCTCGTGATCATGCTTTTGCTGGTAAGAAATCTAATATTCACCATATATCGTCGAGAAGTAATGGACGAAGCAAAGTCTTTCGCAGAGAAAGAGTAACTCATATTCATTGAAACCTTAAAATCGTTCTGGACCTTAAACTGTTACATCAGGGAAAATCTTACATAATAGTTTTATTAACAGATACGACACCGTTTCAGTCTTATAACAAGAGACACGCGTCGTCGTTTTGGTTATCTTACAGTAAAACGAGTTAGTGACCGTTCGATCTAAAGCTTCGCACGTTTTCTTAGTACATCGCGCTACAGAGGAATAAAAATAAAAATCACACTCAAACACAAAGAATCCCCAAATCCACAGGTGGCTTTTTTAGGGTTTTCGTCTCTTTTAGTCGTAACTGGAAGAGAGAGGACGAGAGATCCTCCACTAAATTTCAAAAAGCTAATCCTCTTATTCGTTTTCGAATCGATTCGTTTTTCTGGGTTCAAGAATCAAATTCCCTGGTTTCGTTTCGTGATTTGTGTTTCTCTCTTTGGGAAAATTTTGGCTTCTTTTTAACGCTCTCTGAAACGATGGGAAGAGGCAAGTTCAAGGGTAAACCTACCGGCCAACGCCGATTCTCTAGCGCTGCTGATATTCGTAAGTAATTTTTGTTTTTGTTACGACTCGTTGTTTTGATTTTGAATCAATCTTGATTTTGTTTTTTGGAATTTTCGTATTTTCGGTGATGGATTTGCTTGATTGAGTCCTTTTGGAATCGTGAGCTTGTTCAATTGGTTCCGTTGAATTGAAATTAGCTGATATACGTAAGGATTGGTAAAAAAAAAATTCGATTATTGATTGTTGTGCTGTTCAAGTTCAGGTGTTTTTTTGTTCTTGTTCTGTAGATTTATATGAGTTAGATGATCATTGAGTGTTCCAGTTTTTGTTTTTGTTTTTGTTAGAGTGATTTGGCTTTTAGAAACTTTGATTTATGCTATATCTTCGTTTTCTTGATTTAGTGTTTTCGTGTTTGCTTGATTTTGGAAGCGGTTTAATTGGATGAGTTCATTTACTGGTTCTAGCTTGTGATGCATAAAAGTTTCTGGCTAGGTCTCTAGGATAATTTTATAGTCTGCGATCATAGGGTTTGCATTGGAAGCATTTAGTTTTGTGTAATCTTGTATAGTTTTGGTTTTTTCCGAACCTGTAAATTTGAGATATATGTGGATGACTGACTGTTAGATTTTGGGTTTTGTAGTTGCTGGCACATCTGCTGCACGTCCTAAATCATTCAAACAGGTATTTTGTAGTTTTCTTTTACATCTTTGATACTTTTGTTGATGTGAGTGTGGGGGTGAATCATTGTCCTTTAAATGACATTATCAGAAAGAAGCTGAATACGAAGAAGACGTTGAAGACGAGTCAGAAGAGGAATCTGAAGAAGAATCCGAAGATGACGCTGATGTGAGTGAAAATCCTGCATGCTATGCGACCTTATCTGTTTTCATTGTTGGACAACTCATCTTTACTCTGTACATAATATCTATCAGGTGAAGAAGAAAGGAACTGAATCTGTGATCGAAGTTGATAACCCTAACAGAGTAAGACAAAAGACCATAAAAGCAAGAGACCTCGATGTAAGTCATCTAATTAGTAGTCAGTATCTGTAAACCTGTAATATATGTATGTCTTTGTAACTTGGGATTTTTTTTTTTCTGTTCTTCCCATTTGTTAGGTTAGTAAAACCACTGAACTCTCAAGGCGTGAAAGGTCTGTTACTACTACTACTACTACTACTTAACACTCTTAAGCTCTATATCATTCAACAGTTCTTGTTCAGGAACCCTCTAAATTTTTTTCGATCTTAAAATGAATTTTGTAGAGAGGAGCTAGAGAAGCAGCGAGCTCATGAGCGATACATGAGGTTGCAAGAGCAAGGCAAAACCGAACAAGCAAGGAAGGACTTGGGTAAACAGCAATAAATCTCTTGTATTCAGTTGTCTCCTTTTACGTTTCCAAACTGGCTTACGAATTATCTTGTCCTCTGTGTGTATTTGTGTGTGTACAGATCGTTTGGCTCTGATTCGCCAACAGAGAGAAGAAGCTGCCAAGAAGCGAGAAGAGGAAAAAGCCGGTATAAACCTCTGAAACTTCTTTTGCGATGCTTTTCTTTCCCAAACAGAAACTTTTCTTTCAGGTTTCTGATCTTGTAATGTTTTGGTATATTGCAGCAAGAGATGCTAAGAAAGTCGAAGGGCGCAAATGAGAGTTGGAATCACTCAAAAGACCTACCTACTAAATTGTGTTGTTTTTTACTCTGTTTTCTTCCATTGATAAAAGATAAAACCTCTGCTATGTCGTTACTCAGTATCGTTGTTATCTTTCAGATCTTCAGATACATTTTTAAGTTCGGTCTTTAAAAGGAACCCCAAATAAAGCATGTACAATCCTAGTCATTAAATTGATGAGGATTGTCTGATATGTGACAAACAAAAAATTTCAAAAACAGCATCGTATTTAATCAAATTCTGTAAAACGTCGACGTATTAAGAGTAAAGGTTGAGGTTTTCTTAAACGACATCGTTTTCGGGCTAAGCTGAGGAGAAATAGGGGTTTCTCGAACATTCTCTGAGTCTGAGTTTGTTTCTTCTCTACGGGACGGCGATTGCGAGAGCGACAGGCTTCTTCTATTTCTCTTCTCTCTCAGTGTCTCTCCTCCGACGGTATTATTTTCTTTCTTTGTTGGATTCTTATAGCTTTTTTTACAGATTCTGCTCTAGATTTGGTCTTTCTCAGTGCGATTAATGAACTTTTTTAGTTTCGTTCTAGGGTTTTAACTTTTTTTTTTTTCCCCCGGCTTAACGATGCTGAATAGTTTAACCGGATCAACGTTTGTTTGGTAACGTTGTTAGTCCAAAACTATGATTTAGTCTAAAGCTTCTCTCGATTGTTATGTTTATGTGAAAACTTGGAACAATGTTGATGCTTGTACTGTACGGCTGTAGTTAGCTCCTGTTTCGGTTTTCGTTTTGCTTTATGTATCTTCGTTTCTGAAAGTTTTCTGCTTGATTCTGCTGGATTTGTGAATACTGCTGGTTTTTACTTTAAAAAACCAGGGATAAGTAATGGATGATTGATGATCTGTTTTTACAATCTGTTAGTTACAGAAGCTATCAATGTTTGTTTGGTAATCGTTGTTAGTCCAAACGTTGGTTTAGTCTAAAGCTTCTCGGTTGTTATGTTTATGTCAAAACTTGAAAACAATGTTGATACTTGAGCTGTAGTTGAGTCTTGTTTTGGTATTCCTTTTGCTTTATGTTTCTTCCTTTTCTGATTGTGTTCTTCTTCTCCGGATTTATGAATGTTTTCTTTTGCTTGTTTCTACTTCAAAACCAGGGATAAGTAATCGAAGATGAATGCACTCTTTCTACAATCTGTGAGAAATGCTGCTGGCCGCTGTCATCCGGATTGTGACCGAGCAAGCAATATGCAAGAAGATTACGGTAACTTGTTAAATCTAGAATCTAGAGAATATTTACTTTCTTTTTGTCAATAACAGAAACTGTGATTTGATTTTACTCCAATTTTAATATGACTGGTTGAATCATATGAATTGACTACCAATTTTTCATCTGTTTTTTTTTGTATTTCAGATGCATCTCAACATGCAGCTTTGGTAGCGGTGAATCTGATTAGCTCTGCACGGGTTATCCTCAACCTTGACGCCGAGTTTACTGAGTACTCAGCTCAGTATTTGGTGGATAACGCTGGGAAGGAAGACGAGCAGGGAGAAATGGATCTTCAAAGCTCTCAGGCCACTCCCGAAAACTGCATGAAGTATTTGATGGAACATGTAATGAACAAGATGGAGGACAGGCAGGGAGAAATTGATCAACAACGCCGTGAGCTCACTGTCAAAGACTGCTTTGAATGTGCTTTCAAAAAAGGGTTGCCGAGAAGAGAACTTTGGGGACATTTGGGATGCATGTTCAAGGCTCCTCCATTTGCTTGTCAGTTACCTCGCGTTCCCATGAAAGGAGAAGTGATTGAGGTTGAGAAATTGGATGATGCATTGAAGCTGTTGATGAAACAACCAGTGGGAGCAAGACTGCATTTGTTCAGTCCAGAGATTGATCGTGTTGGAGAGGTAAAGTCTTGTTTGTTAAATTTCAAAATTTTCAGAGATTAATGATAAATTTTTGATCTAATCATGTTCAATTCTTTTTTTTTTTTTTTTTTTTTTGGTGTGGTAGGGAATTTACAATGGCCCATCAGCTAATGGAACACGCTATGTTGGACTTAGAGATGTGATAATGGTCGCAGTGGATACAATCGAGGGAGAACGTGTTGTGACAGTGAAGATAGTATACAAGAAGAAAACTTCATTTGTCAAGGTGTGTGCGAGAGGTATGCTTCTCCAGCTTAATTGCGAGGGCTCTGAGGTCAAAGAGCCGACAGGTCTCCTTGTTGGTTTCTCTGTCCCGCGCTTATCTATCAACTAAGCAAGTGCTGGGATCGTGGTAAGTATCTGGAGAACTTTATGCTAGTTGTTGAACTTGTTTGTTGGTCCTATGTTAAGAATGTTTTATCAGACTTATTTTATGTTTAAGAAGTTATAAGTATCTTGAAAACCCTATGTTTGTTGTGGAACTCAGTTTGTATGTTCTGAAATTAAGATTGTTTTATGAGACTTTTATCTGTGTTTTTAGAAGTTGCTGGTTACTTGGTAAATTTAGATTCGATCAGTCGAATGTGACATCAACTAATTGTGCATTAGAGGTAATCATCATATTTTCAATTACTCCAGAGTAAGTAGTCACCGACACGACATCGCTAGTATGATCGCCACATGATGACCATTATTTTTGGGCCCTTATATTGGGCCATAATATATAAGTTTAACGAATTGTGGTCCATCAATAACCCATTCTGTCTTGTGCGTATATATTACGCTGTCATGTACCCTAACTTATTGTTCAATCCTTTTCTTCTCTCTTTTCCAAAATCTGCAAACCCTAGGTCAACAAAGATAAAACACAAAACGCAATTCCATGGCCTCCGACAAAGATTCCGACCGTAACCTAGGTTACATGTCTCAGAAGGATGCGGAAGTGAAGCTTCCACGAACGACGCGTGTCAAGAACAAGACACCTGCGGCGGTTCAAATCACTGCCGAACAGATTATAAGGGAGTCAAGACAAGAGTCTGAGATCCGTCCGCTTAAGCATACAATCACTGATTCAAACGAGCTTTCCGACTACAGACTCAGAACTCGTAAGGAGTTTGAGGATCGGATCCGCCGCCCAGGGAACAACATCCAAGTTTGGGTCAAGTATGCCAAGTGGGAAGAGTCGCAGATGGATTACGCACGTGCTCGTAGCGTGTGGGAACGAGTCTTGGAAAAAGAATACAGGAATCATACCCTATGGGTCAAGTACGCTGAGTTTGAGATGAAGAACAAGTTTATCAACCGTGCAAGAAACGTTTGGGATCATGCTATTACGCTTCTCCCTAGAGTAGACCAGCTTTGGTACAAGTATATATACATGGAAGAGAAACTTGGGAACATAGCCGGAGCTAGACAGATCTTTGACCGGTGGATGGAGTGGTCGCCGGATCAAGAAGCTTGGCTCTGTTTTATTAAATTCGAACTCAAGTACAAAGAAACAGAACGTGCAAGATTCATATACAAGAGATTTGTTCTTTGTCATCCAAAAGTTTCTGCCTTTATTCGATACGCAAAGTTTGAGATGAAACATGGTCATGTTGAGCTCGCTAGGGAGGTTTACAAACGTGCAACGTTAGAGTGTGCAAACGATGAAGATGCTGAGTCTCTCTATGTGGCGTTTGCTGAATTTGAAGAACGATGCAAGGAATTAGAAAGGGCTAGGGTTATCTACAAGTTTGCTCTTGATCATATACCTAAAGGAAGAGCAGAGGACTTGTACAGCAAGTATGTTGCGTTTGAGAAACAGTGTGGGGATGTTGATGGGATTGAGGATGCTATTGTTGGGAAGAAGAGGTTTGAGTATGAAGATGAAGTTAAGAAGAACCCTTTGAACTATGACTCGTGGTTCGATTACGTTAGGTTGGAAGAGACTGTTGGGAACAAAGATAGAGTAAGAGAAATCTATGAGAGAGCTATAGCTAATGTTCCACCGGCTCAAGAGAAACGTTACTGGCAAAGATACATATATCTTTGGTGACTTTTTTTTTTTCTATCCATATCCTTTTGGTAACATACATGGTTATATAGTTTTCTCAATTACTGACACTGATGTGACTCATTCTTGTAGGATAAAGTATGCTTTATATGAAGAGATTGAAACTGAAGATGTGGAGCGTACACGAGATGTTTACAGGTATGCAGAAACTTGCAAAAGTTTCAACATTCATATATATGTTTGAATCATGGCAGGGTTAGACTAACTGTTTGCATTTTTCATTACAGAGAATGCCTCAAGCTTATCCCACACACCAAGTTTTCTTTTGCCAAAGTATGGTTGCTGGCTGCAGAATATGAAATCAGGCAATTGAATCTCACTGGTGCAAGGAAGATACTAGGAAATGCCATTGGGAAAGCTCCTAAAGTTAAGGTAAGTCTGAGGAAAGTTGATCTGAAAATAGTTTACATTATTTGCTTACATGTTTTACTTACTTGCGGTGATGTTTGTGTTCTTGAAAAATTAACAGATATTCAAGAAATACATTGAGATGGAACTCAAGTTGGGGAACATAGATAGATGTAGAAAACTATACGAGCGTTATCTTGAATGGTCTCCAGAGAATTGCAATGCTTGGAGAAACTATGCTGAGTTTGAGATTTCTCTTGCTGAAACAGAACGTGCAAGAGCTATCTTTGAACTTGCAATATCTCAGCCTGCTCTAGACATGCCTGAACTGTTATGGAAGGTAAGTTTTACGTCTAGTGCATCCAACAAAGTGAATATTTCTCAAGAATATTTGATCACTAAACTCTGTAATATTGTTTTGTGGCAGACTTACATTGATTTTGAGATATCAGAAGGGGAACTAGAGAGGACACGGGCTTTATACGAGCGGCTCTTGGACCGTACAAAGCATTGCAAGGTGTGGCTTAGCTTTGCAAAGTTCGAAGCTTCTGCCGTGGAAGACAAAGAAGAAGGCATCAGAAGCATCAGAGGTTTGTGGCTATATACATGTTATATTATGAGTTTTGATGATTCCTTGTGACAGGTTTTTAACTGTTTCTTGTTCTTTATACTACTCAGCTATATTCGATAGAGCCAACGCATACTACAAAGACTCAACACCGGAGCTGAAAGAAGAGCGTGCTATGCTTTTGGAGGAATGGCTTAACATGGAAACTGGCTTTGGTAATCTAGGGGATGTTAGTGTGGTTCAAGCAAAGCTCCCTAAGAAGCTCAAGAAGAGAAAAGCCACCAGTGGTCAAGACGGCTCTACAGAGTATGTATTGCATACCTATATAGTTTCATGATTTGTTAACCTTTGGAATGTTTTGAGAATCGAATGCTAAAAGCTTATGTTTGTCTTTTGCAGATACGAAGAATACATTGACTATTTGTTCCCGGAGGAATCACAGACTACGAATCTTAAGATTCTTGAAGCTGCTTACAATTGGAAGAAGCAAAAGGTTGTTAAAGCTGGAGAATGCGTCATTAGTGGTTAAGTTCATAATGTACCTACGTGATGACTCTTGTGGTGAATATTATTATATTAGAACATATGTTTGATCTATGTATGCTAATTTGTAACCCAATTTAAACATAGATGTGAATGAATACTTATGCTTATGTGTTTTTTTTAATGCATTTGAATGTTGTAGAGATTACTTATGTCAAAACTTAGGATATGTATTAGCAAATCTTTTTGGCACATAACAGTGTCTTTGATTACTTTTGATATGTTGATCATCTATATTACACTTACGACGTGAGTACTTGCGCATATCGCTTATGCATGGGTTGTGTTATGAATATTTAAAGAAGTGGACACCTAATTCAACTCAATATACTGTATATTTCATAATAATAAGTATGGTTGAACATGAGTAAATTGAAAATTTTCATTAAGTATGGTTGAACATGAGTAAATTGAAAATTTTAATTAATAGAAATATGATAACTTCACACGACATCGGTACGTACGTGTGTTTATGAGTAAATTCACTTTATAAAGCTGCATCCGTGCATGTATATATGTATATCATAAATCGTCTATTATTACAAACTCCAATTTCTATTTTTTTTTTTTTTAATGATTTATCTTCAACATCTTCTAGATCAGGTTCTGCAAAACACGTACAATAAGTGAATAATATAATAGAAGATGTTTTTTTCTTGGTAGTTTAATAGAAGATTTTGATGACAATATTAGTTCGTTTGGTAATGGTCACTAAATCTCTCTTCTTCTCGCCATGCATGTCCTCTATTTATTTATAGATAATCAAGTTCATGTACGTAAACGCATTAAGTTTTATTTTTTGTTTTATTTTGTTTTTATTACAATCTATAATATAAATAACATATAATATAATAGTTTTACTAGTGTTAATTATTGGAAAAACAAATTTTCAACCAATGAGATTACAATACATGACGTCTCTTAACACAAGATTTGGCATTTAATTAAGAGACTGTTCTTAAGTTAATAGATCATTTTCTATTTAATTTTAATTAAAAAAGGCATAAGAATGCTTTTAATTTTTTTCTAAGAACCCACCAATAAACATGGTTTTAACACATTAAATTATGAGTTTACTATGTTGATGTTGCATGTTTGTTCTTTCCCAAAAGTCTTGAGATATTTCCTTTGCTACGCATGTGTCAATTTGATTAATAATACACATTATCTTCTTCTTTTTTTTTTTTCGATTAGGAAGCTCTTTCAAACAGTGCTAAATCCTAAATTTGTATGTAATTCTTTTTTCATCCATTTTCATATTCAAAATTTTAAAATACTTTGTTTACAAATGCAACATGATGTGTACATAAAATTTATGTCAAATTAAAGATACCCACGTTAACCAACCGTGTAACCTTTAAACAAATTTATTAATTCCTTTACAAAACAGCCATTTCTAAGTCCCACTAGATTCAGAGCTTCTTGAAAGGTACACGACAGTCTGGCTCTTTTTTCTTTCCCGGTCGCGCATCCCCATGGAGGTGGATATTTCACACATTGGGGTCATCAGCCGTCGAAATACCTAGCTAGATGATTATTATTATTTACACAAAAAGCATGTACAATATAACCTCTATAAATTAATACTCGATAAATTAATACTCTTTATAAATTAATAAATTTCTCCGGTCCCAAGTTGGGACTAGTGTAATTTTGAACACATTTCGATAAAATAATAAGATAATATTTTTTTTGAAAATCCTTTGTAAATATATGGTCCCATCAATATTATAAATTAATAATTAGGTAAAATTTTCAAATTATATGTATATATAGACACATTAGTTTTTGTTAAAGTTTATTTTTACATATTTTTTTGAAAAAACTTTCCAAATTCAGAAAATCTCTATAAATTAATAATTATTAATTTATCGATAAATTAAAACCTCTATAAATTAATAGATTTTCATGGTCCCAACATTATTAATTTATAGAGGTTTTACTGTATATGGTTATTCGATTTTCTTTGTTATGTTGGTTTTGGTTAATTATTTCGTCTCAACAAAATACACTACACGCGAATAGGGGGAAAACGATAGATTGTGAACAAATTTTAGTGAAGCTATAACATACTTTGAATTTTATTTTCCAAAATCTTGAAAATGTAAAGATTCTGTAAATTTGAATAAAATTTTAAAGATAAGAAACAAGAATTGTATGTAATTAATAGCTAAAAATACATCAATACTTTATTAGATTAATATATCTATCCATAAAACGATAACACTCATTATCTTCTAAATCTGCAAACCAAAAAACAAACTCTTTTAGCAATCTTTGTATTAAAAAAAATAAAAAAATTCAAAGAAAAAATTATTCTTTCTTAAAAAGAAAAGAACTCACAAGATAATAAACAGCACCATTTTGGAGAGATTGAAAAGTAACACCATTTTCATCAGTAAGAACCGGATGGCCAAAAGAGTTGATCAAAATAGCATTATTTCCAAAAGCTTGCTTAACGTTGAATAATCCCGCAGCTACTTCGAACAACATGTCGTTAATAAACACAGTCAATTTCTCTGGAGTGACAGAATCTTCGACGTCTTCACCAGCACCATGTAATACCACAGCTCGTTCTTTGTATCAGATCAATGAAATACGTTTTAATAATTAATATAAGTCAACAAAATTAAATAAAACTAAATCACCCAAAGCAAATTTTACAAGAGGTCAAATCTAAACACCATAACATCTTTTCCAAAATCACATTATCCATGAGTTTACTCATTCAAAAAAAAAAGACAATTGATTGATAATATACGTATATAAAAACCTATATAGATATACACATATTGATACATAGTGTTAATGTATATATGTTGATACACATGTAGATGAATGTATATAGTAATATATATATCTAAATATATGTGATGTGTAAATTGTAAGTTTTTTAAGAAAAAACACTTGGTGTAAATAGTAAATTTTAGTCAGTTTACATATATTTTTCTACAAATATTAATTAAGGTAATTATTATTTTACATTGAACATGTCCAAAAAAAAAAAAAGAAAACTTGAAATTTTTAATATTAATATAAAGAAATGATAAATTTTTATTAGTCAAAGATATAGAAAATATAAATTTACCTTGAGATAGATTTGTGGTCAATGGAACTTGAGTAAAATAATTTTCACCGCCGTGATTTCCATCTCCACCGTAAAAATTGATCGCCGGAGTCTTATCCAAGCTTTCAACATTCTCCAAGCCGTTATTAACGGTGGGGAATGCTACATCTTTGTCCATTACCACCGGTGCAACAAAATCACCAAAACCAAACCCTGATTGAACCGGACTCGGATAATTTTGAACCGGGGATAGATGATAACCGGCAGGTTCGGTTACCACCATCTCATTGTTTTGAACCGGAAATAAACCGGTTTCTTGGTTAACCAAACCAAAACAATGATCAGCATCAATACCAGGACTAATGATCTTGTCCTTCTTTGACATTTTAGGGCTCTTGTGATGAACACGAAGCTTGTGTTTTGCCCGAGACTTCCGGTTTTGAAACCAGTAGAACACGTTAGCATCACCGATCTGACCGTACTCTTGAAGCCGGATCCGGATCCTTTGGATCTCTTCTCTCGGTGGGTTAACAATACCAGAGTTGAAGATTGACTCTAGGATCCTAATCTGTTCCGGTTTAGGGTTCCACCTAGGTTTAGGATCCGGTACACGATCTGATTCACAAAACGTATATATCATCCATCATCATGCATGCCTTTAACAATAACATATAAGCTTTGATTCTACAATCAAACTAAAACTAACTATATAATTATAATCTTTAATTATTCAAGAAACATCAAGATCGATACCTGAGGAGAATGAAGAAGAGGTGTTGCAATTAGAGTAGTGCATGTAAGATGGAGAATCGATGTCATGTTGGTGATGATTATTGTTGCAAGGTTTGGATTTGAACATGCTTGGCCAGTTTTTGTTTGAGGATGACGACATGATGGTAGAGTGTAATGATGATGATAATATATATGGCGAGGATGATGATGATGATGATTGATGATGGTGATGATGATGATGATGATCTAGAGAGATTACTTAGGGTTGAGAGGGTGATGAGTCAATAACAAAGCTACTCTCACGTTATATATTAGCCTCTTTACCTACTCTTTCGTTTTGCGTCTTACTACATTTAATAACTATTTTTTTTTTCTGTTCAACACTACATTTAATAACTAATAGACATTATAAAACCTAAAATTTTAGAGAAAAATAAAAAGTAAAAACAAAATAAGGGAAATTGCATGTTGACTGTATTTTTCAAAAGTCTTTTTCTTTTGTCTACGTTCAGTTCATATATTCTTTTTGTGTTAACTAGTTAATTTCAGATTAATTGAATTTGTACTCTTAAACTAAATATACAAACTAATTATCTGCAGAAAATACATATGAAGTGGTGATTTTTTTTATTTAATTATTGTAGAAATGCATTACGATATATATATATATATATATGTATGTTTACAAGAATTTGTATACCACTTTTTTTTTTCTCATTTTCTGAATTTTGGTAGAAAAATTAAATAAGGTAGAGATTTGGATTGACTCGAGCCTTGAAGGATCACATTTATATTTTACTCATATAAATTCTAGTCAACAATAAGAAAAAATAATCAATAGATTTATAATTTATTTTTAATCATGACTGTTTTCTTTTAAGTATGTAGAAGATAGACAATAAAAAAGAATAATGGTAACTGGTTAGTGCAGTGTATAAGTGATGACTCTAATTTGACTATAAAGAAGAAAGATACAAATCTTCACAAACTATGGAAGACTTTAAATCAAAGTGATCTTTTAAATTTTTGCCGTTTTTGGATTCTACTATTTGATTTTTAGCTTCTTCCTCTTCTTTTTTTTTTTTTTCCACTTTTACACAATTTTGGAAATCCCATACACTTTTTCTGTTTCATATATATATATATATTACAATTACAAATACTTAACTATAAATTCTGTTACAAAAAGATATTAAATTAACCCTAAACATGAAAAAATCGACATAAGAAGAACATGAAAAATCATGCAGCAAGGAATCCGTTACACATCTTTTTGTCTTTTTTTTCCTCAAATTCAAGTTCATACTTCATACAGCTTTATTTATTTATTATTTAAATTTTTACAAATTTTCATCTTTGGCATTTATATAAGGCATCTATCGCTTAGCAAAAATTTCTTCGAATATTTTTTCTTGATCGATATTTTTTATTATATTATATTGTGAAACATATTTTTATTTTTCATGAAATAAACTTTTGTTACAACTTACAAACACTTTTTGGAGCTCATACTACACAACATTATACTTATTATGTGGCAAAATTTGTTGAACCCAATGTCTTCAAACCAGATCTTATCCTAGAGAGTCAAGGGTTCATAGAAGTCTTAATTCTTTACATTAAATATACTCTATGTTCTTAATTAATCCAATTTTCAAAATTTGCACACAAACAGAAAAAATAAATATTCCAAGTGATGGCATCTTTTTAACATAATTTACATTCTCTGTAACTTTATAGTTCATATTAATTCTATAGCTCCAATTCTAATTAATCCAAGTTTGGGTAATTTTTTAAAAAAAAATATAAAAATAAAAATAAAGAGCCATATACCTTTTCTCCATCTCTTGTTTAAACTCTTCTAGTAAAATCCATTTATCCAAAACACTGTCATTACTTATCTTTGTAACCTAAATCAGGAACTCAAGTGTGTTTACTACTACTAAATTTCTCACCCAATTGTAACATACATGTTTAATCAGTAAATGGTTAAATAAAAGAATTAAAATGGTTCATCATGTTTGTTGATATGCGATGAGCAGTACCTAGAGAGTGGGCTTATTACATAGGGAGACAAATATATTTGTTTCTTTTTGACTTACGCTAGCTATCGTATAATTGTTGTGATCACTTTTACCATTGCTACACGTTTCTTCTATTTTTCGCCAATCCCCGCCGCTTTAATGATTATCAGATTGGACACATCACACATATCATACCATCGCAGTCTTGTAATAACTTTTATTACTACAACCAAAAATTGTTGACGACAAGTTATACCTAGCTATACCATCGCAGTGATTGTGTGTGTATTGTGTTGTATTGTGTTGTGTGATTATTTTAACCGGTGGTGATTGTGTTTTCAACGTGGTACCTTATATGAAGGAACAATATTAAGCGAAATCTAGGGTGTGATTTGTGAATGGTTACAGCGGTTCAAACGGAAAAAAACATTTATGGACGGAACCGTTTTTTATTTACTATTCACTAATTATGTCCGTAATGGCGCGGTTTCAAAGAAAACAAAAACAAAACCGCTGCAAACCGTTTTTATGTACAAATAGAATTGGATTGCCGCAGTTTGTTACGCCTTAAAAATAGAATGGATTGAACCGCTGACAGATTTAGACTGAACCGATGTAACCATTCACACCTCTAGTAAACCAAGGGTAGTGAGTAGTGACCATAAAATCCCTTCTTAACCAATACACATGATTATGAATCTATTTCAAGTTTCCTTTGCTTTATCTTGTTACATTGTGTCTAAGCATTGTAAAGATTTATTCAAATCAATGTATTGTTTTGAAAATTTCTCATATTCATTCAAGATAATTCAAAATTCTTTCATATTGACCGATTTTACAATTTTTGAGTACAATCATATATATGCTGGAGAAAAGTGATGACTAAGAAAAGTCTACTATTTTTTAGTAGAAAAAGTAACCAAAAAAATATCAAAATACATGTATGTATAAATTGTTTATTTATTTAAAATGTTCAAGTTTAGAGGAAAACACATAATCTTGATCTCTTAGTCTTCATTGGCTTTATCTTCTTCTTTGCCTTTGGTGGCCTCAAAGCTACCCTTATCGCTGTATCAAACACTGCTTTCACATTCTATTAAATATTGACAAAAAAAAAATAAGAAAAATCAGTTGAAAGATTTATTGTATTATTATCGAACCTAATATTCATTAATTATGTAAATTTTGCATATAGTATAAAATTTAAATACCTGTTGGGTTTTGGAACTGCACTCTAAGTACCTTACGGCTCCAATCATTTTCCTTAATTCTTCTCCCTGTTACTCATCAAATTCATTCATACTAATTTCATAATCACATTTTATGATGTTTTTTCATTATATAGACTAAATTATTTATTAGGTTACCTGAGCAGTTGTTATAGAAGCTGCTCCTGGATGATCCTTCAAGAACTGCTTGTCCTCCCTCAAATCTGAAGTCATTTTTGTGTAACATTATGAGCTCTTAGACAAACATACATTGTCATCGATTCGAACTATAAAAACAGAGCATTTAGGAATCAACATGGTAAAACTCTTAATTACCTAATTTTGTTCCGACCAGCACAATGGGGATGCTAGGTGCATAATGTTTCAACTCCGGAAGCCACTATTTAATCAACAACAGACTTATTCAGAAATGCTTAACCATGTGACTAAACATAAAATAAAATGCTTAACCATAATCAAATTTACTTAAAAATGGAAAAAAATACAAAGTTACTATACCTTTTTGTGAATATTCTCGTAACTGGCCTTGCTAATTAAGGAAAAAGCTAATAAAAACACATCTGCTCCTCTGTAACTCAAAGGTCTAAGCCTATTATAATCTTCCTGCCCTGATAATTCCACATTACTTAACAATTATCAATACCAGTGTTTAAAATTATCAAATTCACTTTCAGTAAAATCTAACGTACCGGCTGTATCCCACAGGCCGAGGTTCACGGTACTCCCATCGACGACCACATTTGCACTGAAGTTGTCGAAAACTGTTGGAACATAATCCTGTAATCTCAATAGTTAAATCATTTTATATGTCTACAAGAAATGTTTCTTAAGTTAACAGAGATGGTAAGAATACAGTAGTAGCTTGGGGTTAAAGTAAGCTCCTATTAATTTGCCATTATCAGCACTAATTACTAAACCAAGCTTTAATTTGTCGAAACGAATCTTGAAACAAGAACAACGTTTGAACTCTTAAAACACCAAAAATATTTATGAAACTAGTAAAAAAAAAAATTAAGAGATTAAGCAATTTATTACCGTAGGAAAAGTATTACTGGTATATGAAATGAGCATACAAGTTTTTCCCACTGCTCCATCTCCGACAGTCACACACTTAATGAATCTTGCTGTGCTCATTTTTTCTGTTTATGAGTTCGAGTTTGTGTTTGTGTTTGGGTTTTATGTTCAGAAGAGAAGAGAAACGTGGTGAAGGGTTCTTAAGAAGGCTTTTGTGATGATTATAAATTTGTTTATTGGTGAGGAGGATGATTCTTATTACAACTTTATATTGTTAATTAGTATTATTTTCTTATTGGTAAGGGGATGCAGTTTTAAGCAAACATACAAAATTAACCGAATTAATACCGAACTAAGGAACTTTATTGATACTGTTGACTGGTTTTGGTTTATAGTTCCTCATATCGAATAAACCAAGTAATGAAACCGAACAAATTCTCACTAAAACAATGAAATTATATTCGTCTTAGAACTAACAAATTATTAATAAGTTTATATTTTGACAATAGTTAGCTGCTATTATAAAATTTATTCACTCAAAATTTAAGATTTTTCTAACCATGTTCAAACCAAAATAAACCAAACAACACCAAAAAATTGAAATTTTTCTCTCAATTTAGCCAATTGGTTCAATACATTTTAATTTCTTTTAATTGAATTGAATTAAGGAGTTAAAATGATTAGGAATTGAGTGTATCTTTTACTTCAAGTGCAAGATCATGTGGTCACCGAAAGTGATGTAGCCGTTTGGTGTTGGTTGTGAGTGGATTTTTTTAAGTGTTGGAGAAGGAACTCTCATCTTACTTTGCTTTTCCTATTATATATTTTTTTGTTGAAATCTTTGGAACAATATTTTATTTTTGTCTTATTTGATCTCATTTTAATCACACATTCAATAATGACAGGAGGTTCCACCTTAAATATTAAGATATATTTTATTTTTTTTTCTCTAGTGTGTTCAAAAATAGTAAAATACAATCTACAATTTGTTTGAGTGTTCATCAACAGTTCATTTTTACGTCATCCAATATTTTTTTTCATGAAACATTATTCCTTGACGTTTATGTCGCATGTTACCCTCATGCAAAAATATACGACGATCCATATCACTTATTAAGGGTCTAAATAAGTTTGGCTCAATACTAATTATATAAAGTTCATCCTAAGAGGTGTAAATGTTTATTTTCTATAATACTTTATTATCACATAAAGCTATTTTACATAATTTGAGTTTATAGAAGTAGTTTGGTGATTTATAGTATCATCATGCATACGTAAATTACTTCAAATATAAGTTACCACACGAAGCTCTACTGCGTAGAGAACACGTTTAGGAAATATTTAAGTAACTGCATTATATTATATATTTCTTAACAATTGACTTTGTACATGTATCATCATCACTATCTCATTATGCTTACTTAATAAGATTTTTAGCTTAACATTATAACAAGTTTTATAGAGGTTCAGAATCAGAATAGATAAAAGTTGTAATTAAGATAAGCCCATTATAAACCTCAACATGAACCAAGTAGTATCCAAAAGAAGAAGAGCCCAATCTCAAGTATCTATCTTAAGGTGACTAACCACTTCGCCTTCTCCTAAATCGATCAGATTACTTAAGGGGAATATAGAATTGTGTCAAAACCTCGGAGGCTGTTGCCTTTTAATACATACATATGATAAAACCTAATACTTAAATATAATTACCAAACTCTACATAAAGTATAGGCTAATTACACAATATAGCACATCCCTCTTAATAAATTGGACCATCTAACTTGCGAGAGCTGCCTAGCTAGTATGATCACAGAGACCAGACTAATTCATTTTATACATATTTTTTAACTAGAAGACAAACTCCAATAAGAGAATGATGTATGAACGATAAGTGGTGGACGTATATATAGATTATTTTGTTGAGATCATATTCAAAATTATAATGGTATATTGTGATTTCGAGAAAATAAGAAGAAATTAAAAATATGAAATAAGATAGAATAAACGTATTTAAGTTGTAAAATAGAAAGAAAAGAAAAAAAATCATAAGTGTCAAAGTAGAGAACTGAAGTTTATGTGTGGTGCATGATAATGTGGGGAATTGCTAAGTATGGTGCTGGCACTTTACAGACCAGTCTTTGGAAGTGTCTCTTCGCATTAGAGTTTGTAAACACTTAGGCACAAGTTCACTAGTTAATTAACTTAAGGTTTATTTCATGCTTGTACACCAACTCAGGTCTTTGCAAATCAAGTTTATACTGGATATTGCCAATGTGGTGCTGGTACATGCAATCTATATATTATGGTTATTCTGATACCATGGATTCATTTATACAATCGCCTTGTTTCCAAGTATCGTAGAGAATTATATTTATTGGAGTGTAAATTAAATTAAAAAATTGTTATTTGTAATCGCTAATACAAGATACACTTCGATATTGGACTATGGATTTCTTATTCAAAACCAATTTGACGATAAATATATTGATTATAGCTCTTATTTCCTGTGAAAATCATTGTCCAACTTCGGATATAATATATAATGTTATCTTTACTACTTAAAATCAGTATATCATTATATTAAAGAAAATAAAAAAAAATTAACGAAAATCTTCTTAATGATAGGAAAACAAATGAGATTAAGAAATAAGAAAGAATATTATACTAATCAGTGTCACCAAAATAACGAAGATATCTAACACCGAATACTAATTATGAGGTATCCCGTATCGATATCATTATTAAATGTTTACCTAATACCTATAATTTTATTTTTCTAAAATACCTTAACGAAATAATCAAATTGCTTTATCCATTTTTAGGTATATAATACTAGTACATTATACTCTTATGTTAATAGTTATTTCGAAATAATCAAGTAAACAAACATATATATATATATATATATACTCCATAAGACATATCATGATAAATTCAATGAATACCCACAAAATACAGCATTGTACAACACTTAAAGCTTCACATAAATAAGATCAGATGCAAGTTGTTGCATTAACTATTCGATCCATGCATGTGATTATATACATCCAATTATAGTGTTACCCTGAATTAATACTATTTGTTTTGTGTTTATTATCGGTTTCAATAAAGGGAAATACACATCTTCCAAAAATTAAATATTCGTACTAGCTAGGTATATCATAATTATAGTACTTTTTTAGAATGTGACTTGTACTTCATTTTTTTGCTTCGGTTATAGATATTTTTCTTCTTTTGAAAACATACTTTGTGTCTTTGCAACTTTGCATATAGCCATATACTGTATATACTTCGTTTCAGAATTAATTTTAGATTTAAAATTATCTTAAACTTAATTATACTATATTTTTTTACTATGAGAGTTATTTCCTTACATAAATGTAAAATCCTTTTTCTATTTTTTTAATACACAGATTCAGTCGTTGAACCGGATTAAAATATATATGTTTTTGTAGAATTCGATTTTAAAAGAATTTTCTTACAAATCTTTGTACACAAACCAAATTTACCGGTTAAATCACAGTAACTGTACCAAAATTTCAATCAATTCAATTCGACAGAACTTGATTAACCAAAAACCAAAATAAACCGGATAAACCGAACCGTTTTAACAGATTATACCGAACGCTCATAACTATCTTAGTATATAAAAATGCATATACTACAAGGTACCAACCAAACTTCTCATTTCATTTGTCTCCTCCACTCAAAACGTTCACCAACAATGAGAAGTCATCAAACACATTCTTCTTCAGCTCTTTCCTTCATCTTCTTCTTCTTCCTATTGTTCATCTCCTTCTCACTCTCTACATCAAAACTTGAACCCTCTAAACATAAACCTACAAGAAAACAATCATTCTCATCTATTCTCGTTTTCGGAGATTCAACCGTTGATCCGGGAAATAACAACTTCATCAATACAATATTCAAATGTAATTTTCCGCCCTATGGAATCGATTTCAAAAACAAAATCCCCACCGGTAGATTTTGCAATGGTCGACTCGTCACAGATTTCATTGGTTAGTATTCATCCCTATATTAGTAAAAGAGAAGTACAAAAAGTGTTTTCGGGTCGGGTCAATTTCAAAAAATTACCCGAAATTTGTAATTGGATCTTTTAAAATTAGATAGATTAATGGGTTTGGATACATACACCGGATACTTTCCAAATCTAATTTTAGGATTGTATTATTTCCATAACTAATTATAGGATTTACTAATATTTCTCTAACTAATTTAATACAATCTATTTAAAAATATTATTCTTCTTTCACTTTTATTTGATATTATTTTTAATTTATGATATTATACTATATAATATAAATATTTAATAAAAATTTAACTTTTTTTTGCATATGTTGCAATTTGAATTTTTCAAAACGGACATAAAACGGAACATATAATACTTAAATAT